AACCTAAATAGATGATAAGAATGGATGAGACTTTTTCTAAATCATAATGAATAAATCTATGACTCATCTGATATTGATTGAATGTTTAGGAATTGATTTTTTACCAAGAACATTTAAGGAATATAATTTAAAGCAGATTTGATTCTGAAATTTAGAGATTCTAATAACGTTTCTAACCAACTTACTGCTGTCATTTGACATGTTGCAACGAATTCCCTGTAAAGTACGGATAAATTTTAAGGTCTTTTAAAAAAAAGATTACATTTGCAGAAGGATGTAGCTGTTTGCTTCAATTTTGGAAGTATTTTCGAACCATTTGTTTTAATTTGTTTATAAACGCTGATTAATCCATCGGACGCAAAGATTGTGTGAATTGGAGCATAGAAAAAAAGCTAAACAAATAAAATTAATTTTGCTGACAAGCAGACTAAATTACTGATGGCTTATTCAAACAAGTAATAACGATTAATAGAGAAAAATTTAACTAATTTAGAAGTCGTGAATTTAACATTTTTGATATGAACCTGTCACCTGAAATATCAAGTCCAGCAACACTGATAGCGCAAGAGTACCACAAAAGAGTTGTATTTCAGGTGCTGGAGCGAGGCATCCAAGACAGAATCCCACAAAATTTGTAAGCGATGTAACTGTCATGGATACTCCTACTTGCTCTAAAGCCATTTGTAACCTGAAAAATAAATACATGAATAAATCATAAACGGATGAGAAAAATCCGAACTAGTGAGAAATAGTAATAATAGATATAATGACGAAAATAACCTTTCAGCTGGGGTCAAAACATGAGGAGTCGGTAATGATGATTGCCTTAGCCATGCATTCGTCAGTAGGTATGCATCATTAACACCTTCAAATAAATTTTTTCACTAAAGAACCATAATATTTACGAACTAGGATTGATATTTGTATAGTAACTTAGTTGCAGTGTGCTGCTTAAGAAAAAAGTACAGGGCTAGCAAAAATTCATTAAGTTATACTTGAAGTTTGTATGTAAAATTCGTTAAAGTTAGGTTAGGTAGTATCCAACCCTTCCTGCTGTGCTTTTTCAATAACTTATGAACTAATAATAATAATATTATTATTATTGGTTTGGTTCAGTAATTGAAGGCAAACATACATTTATTAACATTAATATTAATATTATTAATATTAACATTAATCTTAATAATAATAATATTATTATTATTAGTTATTAAAAGAATAATGGCAAAATAATGGCAATGATATAAAAGAGAGCGATGAATTTTTGAAGACACAAAAATTATATAACGAATTTGTTGTGGAGTTTGCTGTATTTTTAGCAGACATTCATGATTCATTAAAGAAAAACATATAAATTGTTTTGTGTATTTCAGTTCGGGATCACAAATTTATGAAAATATGTAAAATTTTTTAAAATAATGATTATACAGAAGTAAAACAGTATTGCTTGCAATAAAAGTTGTAATAATAGCAGACGGAAAAATAGGAAGCAAAACGAATTTGGTGCAAGAAACGAAACGTAAATATGTCTTACTTATACTTATAGCTAATGTTAAGAAGGGTGATACGAGTATCAGAATGTTAATATGGTATCCAAGCAGTAAGATGAAGCCAATCGCTGTCATCGAAGAAAGTATTGCTGAACTGATAGCAGCAAGTGGTAAAAATAACTGTGAATATTGCCAAGGCTGAGAAAAGCATAAATTAATAGCGATGAAATTCACTGTGACGAAAAGAATCAGAAGAGCAGCTCCTGAAAACGTGTAGAATAAGAGATAAAAGCGTGGTAGTAGAAAGTGACATAAAGGAAGAAAAATCATTTACGGTCAAAGATGGAAGATGGATTTAGCAACCGAGTAGATAACAGCGTCTCATGATAATACCTGCTAAATAGTAAGGATACACCAAATAGACTCCTCTGCGGACTTCACCACCTACAGTATGTGCACCGTAAAGTACCAATTCAAGGGAACTATTGGATTTAGAGTTGTGATTACGCACTTCACTGAAATGCTAATTTATTATTGTCACAAGTTTTGAAACTCATGCAGTAAAAAAGTTTTCATATGTAATTAGCTACCGTATTATAGAAATATTAGTAGCAGAAGCTTTCATTTATAGACTCTAAATGAATCTAAGTACCGAGAGAATATATTAGTTAGTTAATAGAATTATTATTGTACCTTCTTTGTCTTAGTCAGATTTTAGGCATGCAAATTCATAACTGTATAAATTGAGAAGGAAATAACCTTAAGACTTGTTCTTCAAATACATTTAACTGCTTTTGCTTGATTTTACTTGTAACAAATGTCGTAAAATACATTGCCACCGTACCAACACTAATTACAACGCCTATAAAATGTTAGATTTTGAGCGAAAAAAGCAACGCATGATTTATTAATAAAAAAGCAACTTCATAATGTTAGGAATAAAAGTATTTCCTGTCAAAAAAATTAGAATATCCTTAAAGAAAATTAAAAATGCTTCACTAATTAGAGGAGAATTTATTAATCTCTTTCAAACTTTGCGAGCGCTTTTAAAAGTTAACCTTTCTCGTTGATAGTACGATTAAACAAATGCTTTCCAATATTTACTTTGTACGGTCCAGCAGTCGATAATGGATAATGGATTTTAAAAAAAGACTGATAATTCTGAAAATTCATGAAAATCTTATTCTAATGATAACATTAAGATACGGAAAAATCCTAAATAAATTTATTAACAGAAATCGAAAATTTCTTTCGACTTTCTTAATGCATAATTTCAGTCGAGCCAAAAAATAATGCTAAAAGTAAAGCAATTTCTTTCCTTTTCCTCTATCATAAGAATGATTCTGTTTCGTAAGGGGAATTGCTAGAATTCAGTAAATTTGAAAGGCTTCCGAACCAGAAGATTCCAAAGTTGAGAATTCAAATCACAGAAGGGGTCACATAAGTCATCCCAGTGAGTGCTAGATCCTTCCACTTCTATAGGCATTTTTTGAGTAACGTATTGGTAAAATGTTGTCAATTCGTCACTTTCTGTTGTTTCTAAAATTGATCCATTTCGCGCCATGGCGAATAATGCCAAATACCACGGCTCACCCTGAATTTCAGGATATTTAGGTGTCAAACGAAAGCGAATGGATAGAACCATCATAATCATAATGAATGAATAAAAATTTTCAAAACTTTCTGACACAAAAACAATTTAAGTTGAGAAAAAGAGTACTTTGGGAATTTAATTTAAAATTGAATTATTTTATAGATGCTTATAAATTAATGCAAAATCACATCTTCATGCTAAATTTTAATTCATTTTTGATCGCAGAAAGAATAATTCTTGATCTAAGATTTAAGATACAATCGTATGTTTTGGTGTTAAAGGAAATGAATAATGTGCTGAGAGGTACCGTGCTGTTGAAAAAATACTTGTGAGCATTTGTTTCCCGTACTGAGGCCGTGTCTGCTGGAGTGAAGCCTGATTTGATACTTACCTTCACATTGAACCTATCAAAATTGAGCAACTTGTTTAAAAAAAGGGCTTGAAAATTGTCTAATGAAATGGAAGTATTTAATCAAATTTATTATCGCATAACTGCTAAAATTGACGCTTAGTACTGACTGCAGTGTTTTGGAAACTTCAAAAACAAAATAAAGTTAACTTTAAGAATGGTCCAAGAAGTGATAAGCCAAAAAGGGAAAGAGACAAGCAGATAAATAATACAGGATGAGATCCAATCGTATGTCCAAGTAATCCGAATGTGCGGCTTATTGCTAGTACCATACTTGGGACCGAATACTGAAATGTACGATGAAAATAAAAAATTGAATTTTGCTGCAAATTAATCAATGCTTGGAAGGCAGGAGGAAACAATATCAAAGGTGAATCATATAAACTATTCAGCTCAAACGCTGCAAAAATATCAATCACTTGAGTGCAAATCGAAAATAAGACTTGCTTGAACGTGAAAACAAGCTGAAAACTTACGCAATCTTTCCATTGAAGAATCTTCATACCTTTAACTTAAATTTGCTCTGTTGTTTACATTGGCTCAAAGTAGCTATTTTGCTTTGAAAAAAATACTTACTCCATCATTATTTGCATTTAAAAGATTATTTGTCTCAGAAATTCTGCAATGGAAGTTAGATTGCTCAAAAGTGTGAAACAGTTTTTCTTCTTGTGAGCTGCTTAATTTGGTTAAACTTCATTCAAAAATGAATGAAATGAGTAGTCATATATACGTAAATAATAGCGTAAGTTTTCTTATTCTTATTTAGTTGTAGTGATAAATATTGTTAGCAGTTGTCTTGGCGAACAAATTTTAGTCAATCTTTCAGTTGTAGACAAGAATGACGATGACTGAACAAGAACTAACATACTTATAGCAAGAGATGTTTTATAATTTGAATTACTGAATCTAATTAATTCCGTAATTAACGAGAACACAACTATGACTATTTTTTAAGCATAAAGTGAGTAAACGACACAAAGTGTACTTTAATTGAATACACAATTTCTAATTTGCTAGCAAGCAATGGCTGTCAAACATATTTGTTGCGCAGGCAGCTGAGGCTTAGGCTGATAATTTTGATAAGAGCAATCCGATGCTTTGTTTGTGGAGGCAGTAGAGTGCTAAAAAAAGCAGCAGAGCGAACACAGTCTTTGATTAAAAGTAAAAGTGTGTTAATAGCAAATTTATTATAATTAGCGCTGCTAATGACCGAAGTACAAAGCACAGCTCGGCAAGTGGCAACCCCCACTAATCTTTGCTCATAAATTAATTTTTGTGGAATGATAGATAAGCAGTGGGAAAGATGAACATTTTAGATGGTAGCAGCAATACGAAACTTCCAAACTGAACACTCAAATTCCGTTCTAATAGTAGAAGTATGCAAATTACTTGGAATACTCTCATAAAACGTCAATTATATTTGCTTATTAATAAAATTCTTTTTTTTAATTAATTTTTGACTCATAAAAGTACAGCACACATTTAGCATTACTGTATTTCTCACGTTTTGTAGCGTCGTTAATTTTTTCATGATTTGCAGAAGTGATGAAGAGGAAGCTGTATTTATATAGCAGTTGTTTGAAATAATTCCATTCCTTGGCTGTGATTTTAAGTAATGCATAAATTACCGAATTAATGCAAAGTTAGTAGTAAATATAATGTAATAAAACAAATATGGAAATGTCATTTAGCGAACAAACAAGTGGACTATTTAACTACACGATGCAGTTTGGCAGTGTTATGAATTGTTAATCAAATAATCATTCGTTGTTTTTCATAGCTTTCATCGATGTGTTATCTCTTGGAGAAAAAAGTACACAGAGAACTGCTGCTATTGTAAACAAAACTGGTTGGATACCTTCAAAATACAATAACTGTGATTAGAAACACAAATTAGAATAAATGTTTTAAAAAGGTATTGTACTGTGATGCAAATTGGAGCAGTTGTGATAAGTAGAAAATTGTGATGAAAAGTTAGCCTGGGTTAAGAGCAAAATTATTGTTTCAGTGATAGAGTTGTGGAAAGCATTAAACAACTAGCTAGGTAATTCATCAATTTTAGAATCAAAATTCGAGACTGAGGTCGGTAGTCTTCTTTTACTAGCCTTCTGTTCAACTTTATCTGAATCAAATCCAGCATGTCTCTTCGAATATATTATCATTTTTAAAGTTTATTTTTCAAATACAAGTCGTTTTTTTCTTTTCTTACAACACTGTACAGCAATATTATTTATTAATCAAAATGAATAGTTTTTTTGAGTTATTCAGATTCTTGCCAACATCTTTCATCCTTTTATTTGTTTGTTTATTTCTGATACTGATCATTTACACGGAAAGCATAGTTTTATCTGTTCGTTCGTTCGACCATATAATTTATTTACTTTTTAAGACTTATTTATGTTAAATACAAAATTCTGTAGTACCGAAATTGAGGAAGTAATGCAAAATACCAAAAATTAGTGATAACTTTTCTTATCAGTTACACTACTATATTGTTAAATGATAAACTGTCTCGTAGAAATATTTCGTTTGAAATATTGCTCAGTCGAAGCACTCACTCTTTATTTCAATTGTTTCACCTTCACCACTTACTTATCACTTATCAGTAACATTTTTTCACTTTTCTAAGAAGTAACAACAATATTCAGCTCAAAAAATTAATTGCAACGGAGAGGAATGCATTCACTTCTACCATTAATACTTTGAATTAATACAAATTTGAACTGCAAAATGGCCAAAAAGATAATTACATTAATTTTACAATATTAAAAAAACTCTGATGGAATTGATACAAATTCAAAGCGTAATAAATCACTCGCACCACAGTGGAAGCAAATTAAGTTGCCACCCAAACTCAGAAAGCAAAACTGAAATCTATTCGGAAACAGTTAAGAGTTTTGACAGTCCAATTAATAAGACAAATTTATTATTCAAACAATAAATGTGAAACGAAAGAGTTATTATTCCCACAATGGTTATATTTTTGGTTTTGCTGCCATTACGAATCATCCAGTAATAAAAAATCAAATTTTTTCGCAAGCATATTTAACGAATAAGCGAAAATGCAAACAAAAACGAAAGCATACAATGACAGATACTATTATTTTCTCAGACTTATTTTAAATGAGCAATTACAATTCTGTGTTCATTGATGATTCGATCCATCTATCCATCTATTCATCTATCCATCTATCCATCTATCCATCTATTCATTCATCGATCTATCTATCCTTCGATTCATTTTTTTGACGATTCATTCATCCATTTATTTGGAATCGATGGCGAAAGGAAAAAAAAAGATTAGCGACAATAATTGTTTTCAATTTCAAAACGTCATTGTAATGTGCTAAATAGTGAAAATCAGTTTCACAACACTTCGACAGATTTTTTAAATTTCAAAAAAATTTGCATGAAATTGTTTTGGAAACCAAGAAAATTCAGTTCGGATTGAGCTTAAGTTCAGAAAAGTTATGAAGGAGTAATGTACGATTTGAATTGTCGGATAATTCATTCTAAACAATAAAAAGGTCACGGGGGTCAAATTATGCAAGCGATTCAACTTACTTCGTTCAATTTCCATCGCATTTTTTTGAATTCTTGGACCAAATTAAATTTGAAATTAGTCCCAAAAGAGTTTTGTAATTAAGCAATCAAGTAAGTGGTAGCGGGAAGTCAGAAAAAGGATGTTTAAATATTTTAAGTGTAATTTTAACTTGGAAGCAGCAGTTCAGGCACGTATCCTAAGAACAACATTTATCTTCATAACTGCTTTGAGCAAAGTTCAAAAGGCTTTGTTGCTTTTGATTATTGCAATCTTTGACGGCAGTAAGTGAAACCTGAATTTACAAGTGATGACTTCAAGACCCTATGATGCTGCATGTCGAAAGTTGGAGTGACTTTTAATGATGAAAACTTCGAGAACGGAAGGTTCAATTTGTTGTTTTTCCAGGCTCATCGATTCTTAATTACTCGTTTGATGTTATCTTCGAGCTTTACTCGAAAGCAATCAATCTATGCTTGAAGTCTAAATTTAAATTGTTCATCAAAATCAATGCATTTGCACTGCTAGCAAACTTTTTATGGCTTCTTGTTTTATGCAAATAATTACTTTGCAATAATGCATTCGAAATGATCCGATCGGATGACCGCGGTACTGAATTAATTGCAAGTAAAAGCATCTGCTAAGAAAATCTATCCAACGTTTTATTCATATCAAGAAGTGACGTCGCTTTTGACGTAAGGAAAAACGAGAAAAAAAACTTCACGAGCTTTCCTCACATTTCTCGCTAACATCTCAAAGTCGTTCCCTTTTCACTTTTTAAATGCGTACTGTTCTTAGTAATTCTTTGAAATATCATTTGACGAGAAATATGACGTGTTCCAGCGAATAATTACGTGCAATGTGGTGAATCAGTTTACTTTGCCTGGGAATTTTATTATTCAAAAACTTTAATAGCTAAAACACATACAAATTTATGCCACAGAACAGTTTTCAATTTTAACTGTGAAAATTTTTTGCTGATTACTCAACATAGAAATCTTTTTTCAGCGTTAAATTCGATAAAAATCTTGAAATATCTCAGTCAGAAACTAACTTCTCAAAAAAGAACCTATGTCAACCGTTAGGTGTTGAGCAGTCGTTAAAGTTCAGGTTCACAAGATTTGAATCAATCAGTGCAGCATCATTTCACATATTTTTGCTTATTATTACTCAATTATTTATAATATCTAAATCACTATTTCGGAAAAACCACTCCAGTAATTGGTAACTTTCAAAAATCAATTTATTAAGTTTTATTATCATAATATAATAAATATATTACTAATGAAATAATAATATTTCTTCATGCTTTAATCACGCTGTAATAGAATGCACTGGAATGGAATGGATAGAGTTAAGTTTTTAGCAAAAATACGAAATGAGACATTTTCTTCTACCACTAATTTCCACAAAATTTTTTGACATAAGAATTGAAAATAAATCCTCATTTATCTAGTTTTATTCAAAATTGTGTATGCTTACTTAGCTAATTTGTTTTAGCGGAAAGTTCACGTATTTTATTCAAACGCCGTTACATACTACTTATTTTTAAACAGTACATGAATAACTTTGCTTTTATTAAAATTAAAACTTGTTAATTCAAATCATGGAAGGCACTTCAAGTCTGGCAGAATATTCCATGTCTACGTCGTATGCTTGGCTTCTGTAGTTTCTTAGATATTTGCTTCAGCGGAACTTCTTTCTCCTTATTTTGTAGTTTTGATTCACAAATGCAATTAGTAGTTCTCGATCATGAAATCTTATCGTATTTATCACTTGTATTTAGTCATTATCATCAATTGCATTATCAGTTTATTATTATTAATTACTAAAAAACTACGACCTCAATTCCCTAAGAATGCAAGTGATAAGTTTCTGATATTCCTGAGAGACCTGTAGAAAAGCTGAGCCTGACTGCATGTTACGGAAACTATTCTTACGTATCCTATCTCTTCAGTATCTCATCTCAGTCCTCATATCTTTTCTGAAGAACTGTCTTGATTACATTTTAAAACGATTATACTTCACATATCTTTCTAATTTTCATTCATTGTGAAAATCGCTCAACGGCACTTTTCTTAAAAATTTCGTCATAATTATTCAATGAATGAGTGTTGGACACAAGCTGCTTACATGATTCCCAATTGTATACTTCTGACAGATGTCAACTACGTTAATTATTATGTAAATAAAATAATTTAGGAAACAACCAAGCCACACCAAATGTACAACCATGGACAAACTCTTAACGTGTTAAATTTGTTTTGCACAGTGAACAACGAAATTTTAACTCCAGACATAAAATTTTTCGGTGAATTTCTAGATCATCAATAGATTTCTGAAGAATTTATAATCTTTCTCAAGGAAAAAATAGACCTATTTCCTTAAGTATCAACAATTTTATAAAAAATATTAGGTAAGAAAATCTTACAAGCAATAAGAGAATCTCACAAGATCAGAAAATCTTATAAGCGATAAGAGAAATCTAGATAAATCTTATTAAATAAGAGAATCTTACAAGTGCTTTATCTGAATATTTCAACTATTTGGACTGATATCCAACATCTAAAAAAGGTTTATCAGTAAAACAGAGGTGATTCCTTTGTAAGTAACAAACTTTGCAGATTGTACAATATTTTATATTATACAATATATGCCACATTTTACAAGTACGTAAAAATCATGAGAATTTAATTTTTTCATAAGATCTGTTCAATTAAGAAGAGAATTATTGTTGGTCCAGAAGTAGAAATGTAGAGATAGAAATTAATAAATCACATTATCTCAGTATATATTTCAAAATACACCGTTAAAGACAAGACACAATATTTGTACAACAGATACCACATTATTATGCTGCTATTAAGTTTACTTAATTCTACTAAAAAAAACTAATAGTTACTGAAAAATTAGCTTAATTTCTTTTTTTTTCTTCATAGAATCTTTCAATCTCTTCTCGTAATGGTTCATAATATTCCCAATCATACTTTACTTTCTTAGGAATTATGATTTCCGGCACACCACGTGCTCTCATCTGCTTTGTTTCTTTCCAAGCTTTATAATCATTTTCGGTAAACAAAATATTCGTCACTGCACTGAATGGAACTGATAATACTCCAGCAAGGCTATAATACCAAAAAATATGACAATTTGTGATAATTCAAATCATAAATTAATGAGTTTCATCCGTATTCATCATATTACTCGTTGAAAACAACACATATGCCGGCAATACCAATCAATAATAACTCTTTAGTCATTCAAATTCATAACAAAATTTTGTGTAATGGTTCTACGTGCATAATGAAGAAAGCTTACACGCCCAAGCGTGGATTCCCTGTGGTACCGTAGAGAAACATACTTGCCAAAGTGAAATTAACGAATGTGGACATCATGGTCATCAGAAATCCTGGGTCAGCTTTCACTTTTTCCTGAAAAAATTTAAAATACAGCACAAAATTGCTTCTTAGTTACAGGAGTAAGATTACGACGACTTCTAATTAAGTTAATAAACCACCCAAACTCGCTAATTATTTTCACGATCTGGTTAACAAAGGATATGTCAAAAGTTTCTGATGGCACCTGCTTCTCAAAATCACTCATTCAAACCCAGACTGAATTCTTTTAATATGTAAGTCTCCATTTAAGGAATACGTCAAAAATGGAAATTATCGCAACACTTGACATACTATATGCACGATGAATTCGAACCTTTAAGCCAATTTTCCGCCGAAGTGGAACTTCTTCCACGCATTCATCTCCAGAAGTCATTATCCCTTCACGACATTTCACAAAAAACCTGAAATTATTTACTGCAGAACAATCAAATACCCTACCAACACTTTACATCAAAGTTACCACAATATTCCCACCGTATTCAGCGTAGAACACTACACAACTCGTATCGATGATGATCACAGTTCGTATTAGTAATCAATCCCTAACCTTTACAATACATCTCATAATATACAGCACTTAGACCAAGAGAATTTACAACAAACTTTTCGCTATATAGTTCCCAGACCATAATTTAAATGTATCGTCTTAACAAGAAAATAACTGAGATATTTTACTATTTTCAATAAATAATCAAAGAATTCAAAGTATGTAGTGAACTACTTTTTACATGGTACCGAAAACGCTGGTTTCAAAAATTTTGCTGGAATATATTTTACTGAATTAATAAGACCATGAATACAACCAATTTCCTCAAACCATAAAACTAGATGTACTAGGCAAATATCCATACATGCATATCACGCACACGCGCAAATATAGAGTTCGTTACTCTCAAAAATAGCACTAACAATAAAAGCTTGTTTATTTCTACTCAAATAAGGTTTCCAGATCAGAACAAAGAAAACACAAAAATACTGACTCCAGAACACATTGTTCAGTATTTATTTGACAAAAATTAGAATACCCTAAAATGAAAGCCATAGATTATTTAAATTTTTCCAGAGCAGCATTAAGCATCCTCTTCTCACTCATAACATTTTCGAGACTATAACTAAGAAAATGAATGAAAACGATTTGCGAGAATTTAGAAATATTCAAATAACTTGTGAATTCCAAAACCGTAACATCATTTCGATCTATCTGAAGGCACAAGCTTGGACTACGACAAACTTCACCAATATTAAATTAAGAATGATAATAACTGTAGCGAAAAATCTAAAATCTGAAAGAGCCACAAGATAGTGTTTTTTTTAAAGAACTAACTTGTATGGAAGAAGTACTACATCCCATCAATGACCGTAAGAAAATGAATGGGACATGAAATAAACAAACAAATTAATTACCAAAAACAGCAGATTAGAACTAAGCTAACTCTTCCAACAATATTTCTAGTATTATAAGAAACTGATGCGTAAGGCAAGTCTTCAATCATCATTCAATTTCATCTAATTTAATAAACAACTAACGCATGTCACAAGCAAAGGAGAAAAACTAGTAATAACCTATTAGACCGCTCACACTTTATTGCTTTAAAATAATCCTAATTATTTTCCATAAGTTTGCAATAACATCAGACGCGAACACAAGCTGAAAAAATTTCCGCTAAAACACAGTCAACATAAAACTACTGAGCCATTCTCTTCATCAAATAATGGCTGTGATCAACAATACACTCGTATTGAAACAGTGGTGCAAGAAAGATTGAAGATTTTCAAAACTCAAAATGAAATATGAAAATGAATTTGCAATAAAACACTCACACGAAAAAAGAGCAAGCAGTATTTGAAAAACTAACAGAGCGAAATCACAAAATTGAAGCAGTGATTAAAGGCCGGAAATCACATAAGCTTTGAGACAAAAGTTTAGTTTTAAATGCAACGTGAATAACAACTTCAACTAATCCAAATAATGAGAAGCAACTGAATAACGTTTAATAAAAGCACCAGAAAACTGAGAAGTATGTGATAATTCCTGAATATTTTTTATATTTTTCAAGCAGCACCTCCAGTAAATGAGCAAAAAATGAGTGATATTTGTTAACCACAAACAAATCGATAGATTAATTTAGAGCCTAGTTACAAATTTTCACATGATCTTGGCTTATCTTAAAAGAATGCATCTGCTTCCACTATATTCAAATAAGATAGCAAGAGATGAAAATTTGCTGAGGGCACTTCTCGTCAACTTCTGTACAAAAACATCAAAATAAATTCAGATGCCAAAATCAGAAATTTCATGTAATTAATTCATCAAACAATTAAAGAAAAATCAAATTCTCTGAAAAGCATTTGATCGGCATCAGTAATAAGTCGCTTATCCTTCGCTGAAGAAAATCGTGGTGTTTCTTTCGTGAATTCTTCATCGAAGTTACTAACGTCTTCTGGATTTTTCTAAAATTTTCTTTATATGTCAGATTTTTAATGGCAATTTATTGGAAATACATTTAGCCCATACTGGTAAACAACGGAATTCCATAACAAGAAGGAACTTACTATTTGTGGAATAAATTTCGGTTTGATTTCTTTGTTCAATAACTTTTCCCAATCCCAATTCACATGCTGTAAAAAACTGGAATTTATTTCCATTAAAATGCAAAATCTGGCTTGCTCTCTTCAGAACAAAAAAACAAATGACATTATGCATTTTCTGCATAAACTGGAAAACAAAGGGCGAAAAATACTAAAGAACATTAATTTTTGTAAAAAAGCTTATTTAAAACCTTGAAAAATCGCTGCTGTTTGACATCTAAAGCATCATTCACTCCAGCACCTAATCGCTTTTCCGGATTCTTTCGCATTAGCTAAAGTAATTGTACTTTTGAAAACATTTCAATCAAATTGGGAGCAAAATTTTATGAAATCATAGTGCTTTCAAACACTAATTTAAAAACTTGAAATGTAAGAAAGTAGAGCACCCTTCTCATTATTGAGATGCTTTCAATTGAAAGAAAGCGTGGGTAACGGACATCGTCGTTGACAATAGAATCGAATATCTCTTCTTCATCTTCACCAGAAAACGGTGGCTACAAAATTTGAACAAATGTACAGAAAAAAGCATTTTTAAGAAAAAATAGTACACTGAAAAAAACCATTACCTATAGAAAATGCCATTTCCCATTCACAAAAAAGTCATAACCGAAAATTGAATATAAAGAGACTTATTAAACTCACTTCACCCACCAACATTTCGAAAATCAACACTCCAAGTCCCCACCAATCAATCGCGCGAGTGTAGCTACTTTCAGTTAATACCTAAATAAAAAAAGGAACACATAAGTTAGAATATATAATAGCATACATTTCACAAAGATTGTGCATGTAAACACAATGGTTTTGTACTTCAGCATTTAACGAAGATGAATCGAGCTAGCTTCTTAGTGAAAAAAAAAGTAAAAAACATTCTGATTAAAAAAGGTCAATAAAATAAACCTCAGGTGCAAGAAATTCCGGCGTGCCACAAAATGTCGAAGTCCTGTCGGTTGGTCCCATACCTTCTTTACACAATCCAAAATCTGCCAATTTCACATAACCCTCGCGATCCAACAATAAATTATCTAGTTTGAGATCTCTAGAAAAAGATACAGCTATTTGAGCTTAGTGTATTTAAATCATTTTTTCAAGAAACAGTACTAAATATAATACAACTCTGTGCAATTCCAGATAATTACGCGATTTCGCATAAATCCTACGGACATCTTGATGAGATATCTAGAAAATTTAAATTCTGATCACCTGATTTTCAACATTCTTACCTATAGATTATATTATTAGCATGTAAAAATTCAAGACCCAGCAATACGCATGCTGCATAGAAACAACTTCGTTCTTCGGTGAAAATATCATCATGTATATGTCTCATTAAATCGCCACCCATTGAATACTCCATGACGAAAAAAACATGCTCTTTTGATTGTATGCATGCGAAAAGATTCACCAAAAATGGGTGACGACGAGACGTTGCAATCTTGAAGAAAATTAAAGATTAAAATGTAAAGTTACAAATACAGTCATGATTTTCCTCCAGTTTAACAATTTATATGTAGATCGTGCAACATGAGATACAAGATCTCATCTGAAAATAGTAAAAAGAAATAATTTCGCCTAATGATGTAGGCAGAAATGAATAATTATTACAAATGCCACAACTACCTCAAAAATCCTCTTTTCAACCATGAGAGACTCCACTTCATCACGACCGAGCACATCACCCTTTTTCAACACCTTTAAAGCATAGTATTCTCCATTTCCTTTATACTGAGCAAGAATAACCTGAAATATTTGGAACATTAAAATAACGCTAAAATTAAAAGAGATGGACAGCAATTCTTTGATCACTGATGCAAAAATTATGTCACGAAAATTCTCAGAAATGACTTCCTATGGGAACAAAATTGCTGAAACTAGTAAGTGATAGATGACTAGCGATGGTGTAATTGAATATACTTTGCAAATTTTTTTTAATTTAAAATTCAATAATGAAAAATTTTTGTAGGAATAAACTTTGAAACAAGCTGATACAATAAAGTTAGTAAATGTATTCTATTAACTTTATGCGAAAAAATACAAAAAACTAGCTTTTCCGAAATGTCCTCTTCCGAGAACAGAAATGAGACGGAATTTTTCGATAGTGATTCCAGATCTAGTGAAAGTGATTCGAGATGATTTTGAATGCGTTAATAGTGGTGGCTTGGATGTCGGCAAAGGAGGAGGGGATTCAGAGCGAGATGTAGCAGCCTGATTTCTTGAAACTGGTGGAGCGGGTGGTATCTAAAAAGGTTCGCTGAATTTCGTTAATACTTTCAAATCCCATTGCCTCTCCTTTTTGATTGTCATGTTGCCTAATATTCTCGAGAATTTGCATAAAATCTAAAAATAAATGAAAGCGTGACAAGAGAACCTTTGCTTGTTCATGAATTCGTTGATGGTACTTTATTTTCGATACTTCCGAAACATCGCCAAAACGAACTGAACTGGAAGGAGGAGGTGCTGAACGATGACTACTTTCTGATGATGAGAAACCCGAGGGTGGTATTTGCGACGTTAAAGGTCGGTCTGTTGTTAGGCGTGGTGGCAGCGTGTGAGCAGTTTTTGATGAAGGTGATGAGGAAACTGAAAGTAACGAATCTTGCGCTTTATTTAACAGAAAAAAAATGCGATTTTCTCATATGTTATGGAACGCAGATTTGATGTAGTATCTGCCTTCTAAAATACTCAAAAATTTGTGCTGTTTACAAGGAAAGAGCCATCCTCAATTAAAACATATTTTTTATGGAAAAGTACCGTGAGTTGTAGCAGTATACGTACCACCATAAGTTGGACTTAAACATGGTTCAATATTTTCATTTGATTGAGAACCTCCAAACTGCTTCATTAAACGGCTCCATGCAGCAACACCAAGTTGTTTCTTTGCAGATGCTATTTCTTTTCTTTCTACAAAAAATCATAGATTAGAATAGAGTGCAGATTAATATTTACTTCTACCAAATCTTTGCCAGTTAAAGTGACAATTCAGGAAGCCAAGAATGTATCACTTATTTCAAAAATGATATTCAGTATAAAACGTGAAATTTGATTAAAAACATGAGCCTACAAAAGCACTGTAACAATGCAATCGCATTTCATTTTTGGTCTTATCCACTTTTGCTACAAATATTAGCGGCAAAACATTTCAATACCTTTTACTTTGAAAAGACGTTTTTGTCGTTCAAGTTTTGGCTTCCTACTAACAATAGGATTCAGGTATTTGAACTAAAAAACATACTTATGAACTCAGTAAAAGTCTTAATATCATCAAAGGTTTGTCAAAAATACTTGTATCTAATTAGACACCACTGAAAAAACGCTCTGAATAACATTGAAATTCTTTTCTGATTTACTGACAAGAACAAAATTTTCATGCAAACCTCAGCAAACAGATCACCCTGCGGTTCAAGATTAAGAACCATTCCAGCTCTTTCTGATGGTTCAACAATGTCTCCCAATTTCACGACAGTGAAAGCACAAATAGAACGCCAATCACGATACCGAATTTCTATTTCCAGCTCTTTTGACTACAAATTAAAAATTACCAACATATTGCAAGTTATAATAACTTTATTTGAAGTAAGCAGTCTGAAATTTCGCCAAGAGAAACTGAGATAAGAAAAAAACAGGTCATTTATCTTGTCAAATTTTTGAAAACAAATTTTTATTTAGCAAAATTTCAATTTTACTGACGTAAAATAACGCCAATTAAACAAATGAAATTCACACACCCTATCGAGATCTATGCTGAAGTGCTGATCCCAGGCTTGTTGTGAAACTGGTCGCGCATCTGTGCAAGCCACTTCACGACTGTCCAATAAAAGTATTGCCATAACTTCATCATTCTGAGATAACTTTGCAGATGAGCTGAAATGAGTTCATTTGCATGCATTTTGTGCTTCTTCACACTCAATTAAAGTGAAAAAAGTTTTAAAAATGGCAAAATCATACTGGAACAAAAACTATTCCAAACTTGAAAAAAGTCTCAAGCGCAAAATATTAAAGCAAGAAAATGAATAAAATAATGCAAAACAAACTTTGTGTCCATCAAATCAACAATACCCACTAATCTGAGCTTTAAAAACCGGTGGCATTTCAATTTGTCATTTAAACAAACTTCTCAAATGCAATTTTTCAAATTTTACGTCTCCTAATTTCAACAAGTAAAACGAGAAGTTACAAACAGTTCCACTTCAAAATTCTGCAGAGATTTGAAAAAGTTTCGAATACAAGCAAAAATCAAGACTTGCACAGAAAAATACAGATTATACTAGAAACTAAGTTTACCAAGAACAATCTTGTTTGAGTGATATCTGAGTGAGCATTGCTTTTAAAAACAAGGACATCTTATTCAATGCACCTTCGAATGCTAGCGAACTCATTTCACTAATGACGCGGATTACAATTACATAACAAAAATATGAACAATACGAGAACTATAGGCAAAAAATCATCTTAAAAGTATTTTTCCAAATTCCAGTATAAAATCAGATTATACAATTGATTAATAACTATTTTCTGATGCCTGACAAGCGTGTTAGCATGCTTAGTACAAATAAACAGTAAGTAATCTTTATTTGCACGTAGTCTCACATCTAAGTTAAAAAGCAGTAAATTAAACTTTCTAGAGACTAGTAGTGATTCATAAATGAAACACAATAACGTATAGCTGAAATACAGAAGACGACAATGTAAAGAAAAAAAGTGAGCATAAAAAAAAGAGAAAAACGCACGATGATTCTATCGATGAAGTAGACGATGAACACCAAACTGAAGACGATATCGCCCTAAAACGCAGCACACAAATATGCACAACATCATACGAAGGCTTTGACAAAATCACTCACAAAAGCATATCTAATAAAACTAAGCAATCTTGAACTAAAAAAAGATTTATAACCATTAATTAATAATTTTAAAAAGAAACATCGTCTGATATCGCTTACACCAAGATAACAATATGTGCAGTTTGAACTAAAATGCGAAAAATCGAAAAGACATCAACCTTTCAAATTTTTGAATGCAAACTTGTGGTGAAACAAATAGTTGAAAACTTATTTAATTATGCTATTTGGCTTGGAAGTTCAATATGTACGCTAAAATTGTGTATATTAATTATTAAAAACATAAAATGGCTGGGTAAATTCAGATTCACTAAAGCCAGAATATTTCGTCCACGCCAATAATCACACTTCATTAGAGTATCATTACACATTGTTAATTTTTTCTATTAATAACGAATCTTTTTACCGTAATATTTTTATAGTGAATTCAGAGCAAAAACTTAAAACGATTACTGCACTACTATCACTAAAATTTTTAATTAACAACTAGAAGAGATAAGATTTAATCACAGCTTTATAATTATTTCTTTACATCTGGTTTTCAACAAAGTGATACATTTAAGTTTTTCAAATTAAAAACTGGTTAAAACATTTATCGAAAACAGCTAAACTGTATTAAAACACCCAGTCGTATCAACCAATCATGATATCATAACGATCTCTCACTCAATTGTAATAAAAAACGATTTCTGTCTTGAAAATACAATTTTTGATAAAAACACAGTTCAACTTCAACCGAGCTGTACTTTATATGCTTGAAGTAGGAGAAACCTCAATCTTTGACATCGTTTAATAAGATGAGCCAAAATCAGTTAAAATATCTTTTACATATAAACTTTACTAAACACTAGCACGTTTAATTTGTAAGATTGAAGGATGCCCACACAATGCGTGGAGCGAACAAAAAAAAAGAAACCTTGATGTTCGTGGGCCAAGTCCACGTGAGTTACGTTTTTGTTGCGAAAAACCTGATAAACTATCACCTCCAACTGCTATCATTGACGAGACTTCTGGTCGCGGTAGCCGTCGTGGAATATCAACCATTAAATTTTGACAACCAATTAACCCAAAACGATCAAAAAATTTTTTATGAATACATGAATATTCTTTTTGAATGTCAAATACATGAATATTCTTTTTGAATGTCAATTTCCCCAATCTCTTTAACAGCTTCTAGCAGACTGATAATTATCGAATTCATTCCTGCCACATTAAATGAAAAAAAAAATACAAAGAATGATCTATACCAAAGCTTTACCTCACTTCAAGACGTCCGCTAACGGCTAGTGATGGTACTGCGCAAAGCCGTCTGAATGGAACTGTTAAACGAGGTAAACTTGCTGACTTTAAATCGGCCTAAAACATGTGAACGGTAAGCAACCAATTTTAAACATTAAAATGTACTTAATGAAAAAAAGTCTTATTTCATTAATTTTTTCCGATTAAAAAATGCTTGGTGGATTACTCTATTACTCAGAAAAAATTTTACCACAGAATAGAGTGATACAAACCTGAGAAGGACTTCCTGGAACAGATGTTACAGTAGTGAATGTTCCGTCCCCACGCTGGTGATGATGACCTGTTAAAGGTAAACGTTCAGACTCCATTATTGCATCACGGATTTCGGCCTTCTTTGGTGATTCATTTGTCAGCCAAGCACTAAAAAGTAAAAAAGTTTGTTGCAATGATTACCCAAATACGTCAGACACATACTAATTTACTTACTAGGAGAAATTTTGAATGCTTTCATAGAATTTTGGAGAAATTTTTGCTTCCGATAAGGATATTTCATATTTCTTTTGACAAAACATAAGACTGCTAACTTTAGAAAAAGCGAGTGTCTAAAGATATTTTTTCTATGGATGAAAGGAGATAAAAACCACTAGTTACCTATATTTTGCTAGTGCTAGTCGTATCAGATCAAGCTTTTCTTCAGATTGCATTTGATTATCAAAAGCTTGTGAAAGGCTTTTACCATCACTCTTTTTCTGGCTGCTAAGTATTCTGCAACCAAGTTCATTGACATTATAGAACAATATTATTCTTTTTAAGAATTCACGTTAACTGCTTTCGAAATGATGCTATTTTATATAAGCGTCAGATCAAGTATGTTACACTAGTTTTCGTGTGTAAGTACTTAATTATTCAATAATTAATAATGCTGAATAAAAAGACCACCTGATCATATTACGTGCTCCTTCAGCAATAGCAGCTTCTTTGCGAAGTCTGTGTAGAAGATCATCTACGATTACTTCGGTTTTAGTTTGTATCGTTTTACCTCAAATATGAATTTTTTAAAAAGTTTCAAAATACTGTAACTGCTTTTGATATCCTATAATTATTTGATACAAAACGTTATAATTACTTCTTTCAATCACCAATCATTTAAAAAAAGTTTGATTTAGAAGACGAAATATTTACATTCCTTATATCATAGAACTATTTTATAAACTGAAATGATTATATAGTAAACCAATTTAAATATCCGAAGTAAACTATATACCTGATAAACATGCATCGACCTGTTCTTGCCGTTGCATTTTTTCGATCTGCATACGAAGTAATGCAATTTTGGCTTTCGAATCAAAGAGCATACTTTTTGACTCTTCTTGAAGCTTGCGATTATTTTGACCAATAGCAAGAAAACGCTCCAGGCCATCTTTTACTTTCATTTCTTTGTCCAATTCTTTCTAAAACATTGTCTTAAACGACATTTTTGAACTCATTGAAACCATGTTTAGGGTTTAAATAATAATAAATCATAAATGCTAAACTCTATGTTCATCTAATAATTGTATATGTGTAATAATGCTAGGATTTTAGTGTGACTAAGTTTGCAAAAAATATCCAACCATGTAATAGAATCAGCCGTTGTAAAGACCATTTATATGAATGATTCTTGATCACTGTCAATAGTTCTTTCTTTTTTGATTTGGAGAAAGATAAATGAGGCTTCTAAAGTTCATATCACACTAATATAATGTCTCATCTTTTTACTTTGATACAGCAAACATATCAAGTATAGAAGATTGAAAAAATACCTGTAAACTAGCAAGCCGACTATTTATTACAGTTTCTGTACTTTCTGTATTTAATTCAATACCCACACCATCTGAAGAAGCATCTGCAGTTAAAACGTCTTCTGATGGAGAATTCGCGATTTCATTAACATCCTCACCATCATCTGAAGTTTGTAGCTCACTTCAAGTACTATAAACCATCAACCGAAATGAATTTTAAAGTTCAAGGTTTATTCTTGCCGAAGCCTAATTAGGCTATGGATGAAGACCATCTGTACAGATATCACGCTTTTTTCAAAAAATCTTCACCCTTCGCGTTGTTCATCATTGAATTTCATTTTCTAGCTTCATCCCAGGAGACGAAAAAACGAGTCACCATTTTTTAAATTGTAAAAGAGTTTCTCTTACAAACTAACAACTTAAGTATGAGCTCCTTTTAAGCAGCTTTTCACTTTTCTAAATGACTGGAATGACCATGGAATCCTGGTTCTAAGAATAACGATGTTCGATAGCAATTAAAGTACATTCTGGTTGTCTCAGCAATAAACTACTTCTTTCTATGAAGCTAATTTTGAGATGAAAACTTTGAAACTACATTAAAAAAACTTGCAAATGCCAGACTACAGTTTCCTTGCATGCATGCTCATCAAGTCAACCGTTGCTGTTACATCTAATTTTCTCCTCCTACTTTCTGTTTTGCCCTTAATCTCATATTTTCAGCTTGCTTGAAAAAATAAAAATAAAGAGTGACTAAAAATCTTGACAAGTCACTAGTGATCTTAAAGCCAAAAACAAGTAAGCGATTTGGCAAAACAACAATCATGCCTTCTGTCTCTTGTCTTTGCTTGATTTACTTTTAAAGCACAATTTATGTGTGAAAATATATCAGTGAGACGAAAATTTATCTATAAGTCTACACAACATTTTACACATCCTATGTACGATCCAGAATTCTAGTAACACTACAGAATTCTAGTAATCAATATACTTCATCTTCCCAGCACTTTTCTCAGCAAGCAAAAGTGTATGGTCAGTTCAGCGCAATTTCTAATGTCGTTCAATGTTTAGCGCTACGCTTCCGGATCAATTACTTTTCTAAAACAAAAAAACAGACAGGCAACAACGAAAATACTAACCAAATGCACCACTATCATACATGTCCAGCGTCTGCAAATCATCTTTCATATCACTGATTTGATCGCTCAAATCCCGGATTTCCTTTTTTAAAAAATCTGATTGCTTTCTTTCCTTTGTTACTTTCTGAAAAAGAATTAAAAAAATTAAAATTTATATTCATACCAACCAATTAGTGTCTTTTCGTATTTTGTTCACTTCACAGCGTACAAATGATAAAAATGGATCATTTTTTTTGTCTAATTCCTTACTACAGCAATAAAAAAATTCCCAAATTATGTTTTTAAAAAATACCAAATATGCATTTAAGGTATTCAAGTGAATAATTACATTTTTTCATTATATCAGCAATCTTTTCATAATCGAACTGTAATGATTTTCTAATGGCAATTTATTACATGAACTAGTTTAGGTGACCAAGAATTTTCACGAATTTCAAACAGCATTCTGAGAATTAAAAACTATTTTGCTAAAAAATCAAAATTGGTCTTAGACAAATTTAGAACAAACGCACTTAAACATTCGTCACCTATTATTAAATATTTACTTTCAAGCAGGCAACTTATTTTAAAGATCAAATTTACCTGCATCTGTACATATCCTTGTTTAATACGCATCTGTTTATTACATGATATGCGTATTTTTTTCTTTAATTGAATAACATCTTTTTGTAGAGATTTTTGCTCCCCGAAACTGAATGCATACTTGTAAGCAAGAAGAGCAAGCTCCTCTGGTACTGATGCATCATTTGAACTGCAAATGAAGATAGCTTTATTACTGTTTTTTAACCAACTTTAAAAATGAGGTATTTACGAAAAAAAAACCAAAAATGATAAAGTAGTAAAAAATAATTCCATAAATATACCTGCAGGGTTCTCCTTCATTTGACTCTAAAGAGCCTTCCCATGACATCAGATCTGGATGAGCAACATCAGCCATAGCTGTATTTCGAAAATATAAAACAGAGCAGGAAATAATACTGGGTTCAAGACAATATAAGAATGGTGAAAAATCTAAGAATGATCAGTAATTAAAAAGATCGAATGTGAGAAAAAAATCCCCCAATTTACTGCAACTACCAGTAAAATGCGTGAAATTTTGATCTGGGGAATAAATTAGTAAATAAGTGAAGAGCTGCAAATTTTGATTGACTGCATCAATGATTGAAATCCGCATCCAACTTTTCCGCAGTATAATCTTAAAAATGTAATCGATTAAAAATACACGATGATTGCTGTCTTGCTTGTCTCTGCACTTAATCAATAGCTGCAACAAACAGCTATAAGACTGAATACGAGATCAAATGAGCGTTAATAAACATCATTTGAAATATTTGCATGTGATTAATCCATTAATTGTATGAATATAAATGAAATAAGTACAATGTTTAAGAAATAAATAGTGAGTGATGAATAAGTAATTATAAACAATTTTGCATTTTGCAAATGCAATAGAGATTTAAATTAATCATGCATTTATAGCAGTGGCAGATCGGTGAGAAACTGTTTTTTGCGAAAGCAAAACAAGAATGCTACGCGGATTATGCAGATAATATAGTAAAGATGAGCAAACAAAAGCGAAAGCAAAGAATATGTCACGGAACACAGGCGATGAGCTTCATTAAGCTGCTGCTAACTGCTTTCATCTCTGGTGCTAGTTTGAGAAGGCTGATGAAAAGCACTGATTTGTGTGTGTGTATGTGTGTGTATGTGTGTGAGTGTGTGTGTGTGTGAGTGTGTGAGTGTGTGTGTGAGTGTGTGTGTGTGTGCGTCAAGTATCTCGTGAATGTCTTTTCTTTTGCTCAAAACATCATCGAGTAGCATAAACGTTCCATTCTTACGCCGTCAAATCGTGGTCCCGCAGGAAACAGTTCTGTCTGTTGTGTAGTATTGGCTGTTGTTATTGCTGACGAGGGAGGAGAGAAGAAGCGATGCTACAGTTACACTAATTTCCGGTTACCACTAGCGACTGTTGCTGATGCTATCTACCTACAGGCTACCAGCAACACAAGCAGTCAGTCATCTCTTCTTCAACATTTAATGAAATTGATTAAACCGGTTAATTTGTGATGTGTAACTGCCAGTGTGCCACAAAACACTCAATTACAGCACTAATATACACGAAACGACAAACCATACGGCTTCAAAATTCAACTTTTATAACCTCCAACCTCTTGACTTGCCCTGTCTTTGTGTTAATGACTGCTCAAAAAACTATCTATTTCATATGTAACAAAGAAACTCACAAGTGATTATCAGTATTACAGTGATACGTTTTCTCATCTAATCTCCACACTGCACACATCACGTTTGACGAGAAGTATGTGTGAAGACAGAAGAGTTTTGCAAACAACAATATCAGAGAAGAGTACAGTGGACTGAATCGCACTCGCATCAAGCAGCCACCCATCTGAGCACATGAGAGTTCTACGAATTAACGCAAAACAATGCACTTACACATTGCCAAAGGAAATAAATTCTATGCTGGCACACTAATGGACAGCACTGGCAAGGGAAGACCAAGTCTGAATGTTTGAAGGGCCCTATCCACTACATTCTTCGCTTCAAATCCCATCCCTCACATACCCTTTTCCGTCGATAATCCTGCTACTGCAAGTAAGAGAGCACTTATTCCCACTCTCACCTAATCACAATCAAAAATCGCTCAAAGTAACTGCTCAAACGTACGTAATTTATAGCAGAATTTAAAGTAGTGTAATAATAATTACTACCCATTATTATCTAATGGATGATAGTGATAGTGCTGAGTTATCAAAGTTGTCTGCATCAAATATCGCAAGACAACATAATATAATATTATGGCCCTCATAATCATGAAAAGTTTTCAACGAAATGCCCACTAACAGCATCTTCATCGGAATATAATAAATGAATGGATAGCTAAATCAGAATCACTGATAACTCTTATCAAATACTGCGGAAATATCAGTTAGCAAACAGAGAAGTTTTCTCGTCAAGTTTCTCGAAAGTCTTATCTCATGAAAAATCTCAGCAACACACTCTAATCAAATATTCTTTATTTACAGTACAGGTACTTAACATTTAATAGCAAGTAACAAGTAATCTTTACACAAATACCGCAGCAGAACTGCAGTTCGTTTAATCAAGGAATTGAAATGAGATACACCTTGCAGGCATGGATACTGGTCCTTTTCCAAACAGGACCACATACTTCTTTACCTGGTGCTGTGCATTCCTCCACAACAGTGTTGACACGTACCTTTCTGTTTCAAAAATATGCGCATAAAAAGCACCAAATACTACTAGATGTTAAGCATTTCTTTATCCAAGTAGGACAAAGTTCGTAGCTGAGTTCAGCCACTTCTTACGCTACTAATGGGTACTGATCATTATTAACTTACTAGCGTTCAACAAGTGATTGCAATTGAATAGAACTGAAAATGGTTCAAATGAGTGAGCTATATCCAACAGAATATATAAGCTTAAGACTCATAAATGCATTTGTTAAAAGAGAATGAAAGATAGGAGGAAATATAAAGTGGTAACAATGAAAAGAGATTGCATAATTTAGACCAAAAATAGCTAAGAATAATTTTGAGGAAGAAATTAGATAATTTGAAAATTTTCCGTCTAACACAGTGAATACTAACTACAAGCAAAAATGACCCCTGCAAAACATAATCCTGAATTACTACTCATACTGGCCACTGCAAACGTTTCTGACAGAATGAATGATGAAAATGTTTATTCCGGTTCCAAATAGCTACAAAAAACAACTGCTCTTTTAAGTAAATATTCACACGTGAGTAGACTAGCAACAAGTATGTGAAAACAATAGCTCAGTTGGAGAACAGAATGTACGTGTGAGTATGTGTGCATGCGTGCGTAACTCGAATTGAAGTGAATAAGCATCGCATCTATATCATTTATGCCACTCTTTGAGATGCTATCAGCTGATTTAATTTCACTTTCTCCTACTGAACCTCACGTGAAAATAACCCTGATAATGGCAATAATAATTACTATCAAGACTAATTTTGACTAATTTCTACTTCATCAAATAACATACCGAAAGTGAAACTTCACAAAAAATCAGCAGGCAAACAATACAATGTTTAATGCATTGTGTGAAATTAAATGTATAAACTCTTCTACTTTTAATATGCCCTGATTAGCAATGTGCCAAACAGCAATCCATACTTCTTGAACAAGAAAGTTTAACTCGAAACATAAGTGAAATAAAGCACTCTTTTGAAGAACTAATCAGAATATCAGAATCGCAGATAATCAATCAAGAATAATTCAAACATTAGAGCAACAACTAATGACGTTTATAAATATTCAGGGAGGTTTTGGGATCACAAAAAACTTTTGAGATACAAAAATTTGTTACAAACCTTACTAAGAATTTTGTCTAATAAGTAATCTGAATGGAAACATCTAAAACTAATGGCTTAGCTAGACTAATTAAGAACTGCCAAGTTTTGATTGAAATGAGAAATGACAAACTTCTTGCTTACACATACTATACGTAAAAAAAGCGCAATAATTTAGTCTTTAAAAATTTTAATAACATGGCTAAAAAAATTGCTTTACAAATCAGATCTGATATTCCGGAGAGCAATAACTAACTTTTTTTTTTCTTAACCAAACACGAAGCATCATTCTACGCTTGCTTTAATCCCACACCTGATATATAGCCTTCCAAACTACTTACAGAATAACTGCAATTATCAAATCTGAAATTCAGAATTACTAAATCTAGTAGAGAGAAGTAGTCTTTCACAAATAATGTTTGCACTTCTGAGTTATCTTTCTTGGTTCAAAACGTGATTCTCTTGATATGGAATAAAGAATCTAAACATAAGAGATCTTTACAGTAACGAAAAAGCTTCATAAAATGTTCACAATATCTTTATACTTAAAAAATTTTGCAATTTTATATTGAAAAAAAGGTATTGGACAAAAGAATATTAAAGCATTAATTCATTAAAGAATTTTTCAATACCTATTGAATAAAAGCCTTACTCAATGATTCAATTCAAGCATTATGACTAAAAAATTGGAAAATATAACTACACTAGAATTCTACTAGCGACTTCTGACTGCTTTGAATGGTTCATTAAGAAGTTTAATATGAACTGCAGTACCGATATAGTTTCTTGCAATATAAAAAGAAGCACTCCATATCATATCATATCATATTATAATCATATCAGACAATCTCATTTATATAATGTTAGTTAGTGAAAACTGGCCAGAACTGATTGACAAATAGATTATTATGATGTGAAATGTTGAATTCCGAAGAATGTAATATGTTCTTGTAGAATAAGAAGAAGCACTCCATATCACCATCTGCTATTAAACTTATTTCATATGCATTTTTAAACAACAGAAGTATATAAAAGAAAAAAAACGCAAAAATGAAGACTAACACAATTTAGACTTAATCAAGACAGCTAGCTGGGCTTACAGAAGTAAAGTCTGAGTCTAAGCAGCCAGCAGAAGGAGAAGAATATCGAGAAGGAATCTGGAGAGCGGTGAAAGTGTTCTTCGGGGAACCTAGAAATGGTAGGAGACAAGAAATGCTCTCGAAAACCGAAACTTCAATCTACAGCTTAAATCGCACCACCTCACCTGTGTAGCTTCTCATACATACATCTATCCACTAACAGCTGACTTCAGAGCTGAGCTACGGAATGCGTTCATAAAGTTCGCACACACGGAGTACGATAATTAAAGTCATCTCTGGGGAACAAGTCACTATCTTGTTATTCAAATTATCTCTACACTTTACATCAGATGCACTTCATTCTACACGAGCTTAGATGATAGCTACAAGCGAAACGCTTTGCAAAATATGCTTTCCCACGTGACGCCGTTACAACACAAAGCACATTTCCAATCATAACTTTTGTGAGTCTCCCTCACAGCAGTACTTCCCATATTACGAGTTTGTGCTTCTAAGTTATGCGTGAGTGAGACATTTGGAGTCGCAAAGTGAACTAACTTTTCGTTGGATATCTGTTTTGAATTACTTAAAAACATTCTATGCGAAGTGAAAAATTAAGCAAGGAGAACTAGAATTAAGTGATTTCGTTTTAATTCCAATGCTTTTTGTCATATACAAAATTCTTCCATTTGTGTCATTTCAAATATTGTTTTAGGCTACTTAGAAGGTAAGCGGTGGTTTGCTGTATGATCTCTCGCAAGAAAGTAGTCATTGGATTGAGTCATTTCTGTTCTTCTGAATTTAGCATTAGTTATTGCACACTTCTCAATCTAAAATCCTGCTCATACTTGGTCAGATGCTGGCCACAACATACTGGCTTGCTAGTTTTGACTATGATCATCCTGGAATACAAGCATGTAAATGTTTAGCTCAATTTCAGCTTTTCATAAGTTGCGAGGAAAAACTAGGAAACTGTTTTTGCTACTTCAAATTACCTAAGAAAATTAAAAAAAATAACGCATTGAGTCTTAAGAATGCCTGTAAATAAATTTTAATTCTGAAGCTGTAATATTGTCACGAAATTCGCTTCATATTCGTTTAATTTTATTCGAATTTGCTTCTTCATATGCCATTAACGATCGCCTGCATGAAGTTTTAATTTAATCAAAGAAACATAATTGCTTAATTTTCATTTTTGTTTGAGCGAAAATGCAAGCAAAATTCATGTCAGCAGGGATTACACTCGAGTTTAAGTGATTACTACGTTAAAATGCAATCGTAAATAAAAGAGATAGCTGCAGTGAAAAAATGCGTTTAATAATTGCTCAAAACATCAAAATTCAGTGTTATAAGCACACATTGCTTTATCTTTGCTACGAAATTCTGAATCTAATTTTTTAAAAGTTCTTGCAAAAATATGAAAGATGAAAGTTTTGCAGAAAATACATGTTACAAAGCGTAATATTTCACGTATCGACTATTTTTATTCAATATGTTTGCATGATCACATTATCAGGTAAAATTGATGAATACATATTGTGATTGGTTGCTAATTATACTTGCTGAAATTTAATTAATTTAAGTATTACAATTGTTGTCTGAAAATTATGAGGTGTGAAAATATCAGATATGTTTGAAAGCCTGCAACTTGTTTACCACATCTCGCAAACTTGCAGCAATTTTCATGACGCTACCATTGATAATTGTTGAAATTGAATGTGCAAGTCAGAAGAAAAATCCATATGGAGTGACAAATTCCATGCGTACCACAGCAGTTCCGCCAATGATGCAAGGGCCATTACCACCCGTACAACCGGTATATGCCAAGAACCCGCAATACACAGCCGCACAAAGTTTGCAGTCTGGTACACCAGATTTAATGCCGTCCACCGAACCTAAAGAGAATCAAATGGTCAGTAATAACCAACTTTGAATTTGCTCTTGCTCAACTCCTAAATAATTTTGATACTCATCATTGATGAATAATTAGTTGGTGTGCGTGGAAAAAATGGGACCAGATGGAAATATTAAAAAATATGCGAAAAATTATTTTTTCGAAAGGAGAAAGCGATTACAAATTCACAAAATATTTACAACAATTTCCACGTGAAACAATACAATAGCCGTGAAATTCAAAAGTCAGTTCGTACATGCCAGTCGACAACATGAGACATCTGTTTTAATTAATATGAAAGGAAATAACCGGAATAATCAACTTTTACAATCAGAATGAATAATTTTGCATTCACACAAGCACTTTCTTGCTGGTTTTTTGACGAGCAATTTTATATGTTTTGGTGTCCAAGTACTACTTTCACACAACATATACCCTTGCTACTATGTTCTGATTTTATTGAAAGTTAGTCTGCAATACTGGAAGAAGAGGACATATTTGAAAAGTAAATTCTGGTGGTCCTTCATTTTCTGAGTCGCTAATATCACCATCGCTTCCTCTGCTCATGCCATCATCATCACTGTCAGTCCAGTCATTCATGCAAATATTGAAATGAAATAGATTGAGCTTGTTGAATCTGTCACAATTGATGTAAAATTTGCATAAATTTTTACACTTTGTTGTGAATGCTAATATGAAAGCTCTAAAGTTTAGAAAAATGCATCAAAAGAGAATAAAGAAGAAGTGACGGCAGGAAAAGAGAAAGATGATGGTGGTGGTGATGGCGGTGGTGATGGC